GGCCTGCAGACTGAAAGGTTCCAGGTTTGATTCTGGTCAAGGGCACATGCCCAGGTTGCAGGCTTGATCCCCAGTGGGGGATATGCAGGAGGTAGCCAATCAAAGATTCTCTCTCATCATTGATGTTTCTATCTCTCTCTCCCTCTCTGAAATCATTATATATATATATATATTAAGAAGAACTAGAGGCTCAGTTGGTTGGATAGTCAAGGTTGCAGGTTCAATCCCCAGTCAGGGCACATACAATAATCAAGCAAGGAATTCAGAAATAAGTGAAACAACAAAAATCAATGCTTTTCTTTCTCTCCCGCCCCTCCTCCTCTCTCCCTTCCTTTCTGAAGTCATAAAGACAGGGGGTGTGAGTTGACCACTTGTGAGGGTGGGGCATGCTGGTAGGGGGTGGAGCTTGTAGTAATGGGGCCCCTCAAAGGATGAAAATATGTACATAAGAGACCTTGAATGGCAGTTGTTGCTACCCTAATATGGTGAGACACTGCTACGGGGCGTTTCCCTTTAGGGTAGAGCATAAAAGCTATAGCACGCCTCTCATTCAAGAACTGGGATATGTAGATGAGGGAATAGGATTGACAGATAGTGTTCTAACTAGGCAATAAGACAGACGGGGTTGGTCTGAGGGCAGGGCATGCAGATGAAAGGCGTGGCCTGTAGCAGGGATCCTGAGAAGTTAGAAATTTGTTGCTTGAATGGCTGCTGTTGTCCTGGTAAAGGGTGAGATACTGGTAGGAACGCACGGTTTGGTTCTCACTGGTCACCATGGATGGGACATACAAGTGAAATGGCTTGGTTCAGAGTAGAGCTAACTCCGCGCTGATCCTGCCCCTTCCCACAGGATGATCCCCTCCACCAGCCAGACCTTCCTGGTGAATGATCTGGCGGCGGGCCGCGCCTATGATCTGTGCGTGCTGGCGGTCTACGACGATGGTGCCACAGCGCTGCCAGCCACGCGAGTGGTGGGCTGCGTGCAGTTTACCACGGCTGGGGATCCGGCGCCCTGCCGCCCGCTGAGGGCCCACTTCTTGGGCGGCACCATGATCATTGCCATCGGGGGCGTCATCGTTGCCTCGGTCCTCGTCTTCATCGTTCTGCTCATGATCCGCTACAAGGTCTATGGCGACGGAGATGGCCGTCGTGTCAAGGGCGCCTCTAGGTCACCCCCGCGGGTCAGCCACGTGTGCTCGCAGACCAACGGTGCAGGCGCGCCGCAGGCCCCACCGCCAGCGCAAGAATGCTACGTGGCATTACGCGAGGAGGCGTCCCCGGCTGCGGCAGCCCTGGCGGTGGAAGCAAAGACCACGGTGGTAGAGACGGCAGCTTCCGCAGACCCAGAGGCAGTCTTTGGACGCTCCCTGGGAGGCTCGGCCACCTCGCTGTGTCTCCTGCCATCGGAGGAAGCCTCTGGGGAGGAGTCTCGAGCCGCTGTGGGTCCTCGGAGGAGCCGTTCTGGGGCCTTGAGGCCGCCAGCTTCAGCGCCCTCCACTCTAGCTCTGGTTCCTGGGGGGGCACCCGCACGGCCTCGGCCACAGCAGCGTTACTCGTTTGACGGGGACTATGGGGTGCTCTTCCAGAGCCACAGTTACCCGCGCCGCGCCCGGCGGACAAAGCGCCACCGGTCAAGGGCGCGCCTGGCCTTCACCAGCACCGAGTGGATGCTGGAGAGTACCGTGTGAGCGGCTGCGGGGGCGCCGGGACTCCTGGTGCCACGGACAGGACACACTCCGAGCTGCCCGGACCCTGGGGCAGGACTGGAGGGAAAAAGCACAGCGCCAAGACCTCTGACTGGAGGGGAGGTGGGCCCTTCTCCCCGAGGGGGCGCTGCGGCCTGCGGCTAAGGCCTGCGGCTATGCACCATGTCCTGGGGAGATGGGGAGCGGGCCGCTGGGCTCCTCCCGTGAGAACTCCTCGCCCCCTCTTGTCCCTCCCCCAGCGCGCTCGCGGACCTCGCTGGAGCTGGTGCCTTACACAGCGAAGCGCGGGGAGGGGCAGGGCCCCCCCACACTGCAGCACTGAGACACGAGCCCCCTCCCCCTGCCCGGGACCAGGGGCAGGGACGAGGGGCCCATTTCTTGTATCTGGCTGGACTAGATCCTATTCTGTCCCGCGGCGGCCTCCAAAGCCCCACCCCGAGCCCATTCACCTCTCTGATCCCGTAGGGTCTGGCTTGGGGTCCCCTTTTCTCTGTCCCCCTCTTTTGTGTCTATCCTGCTCTCTGTCTTCTCTGTCTTATGTCTCTGCCCTTTTCTATTTGTCTCTTTTTTCTCGGTCCCGTCGTCTCTTCTCCTGCCCTCCCATGTTTTGTCCAGTCTCTTTGTCTCTCCGGGATTACCTCCCCCCACTACACATTCTCCCGGGCAGGTCCCACTGGAAGGACCAGACTCTCCCTATTCCTTCCTCTTTCCTCAAGTAAATCCCCACATGAATAAAGTCCAAAACAAAGTCCTCCTCCCTACCGGAGCCAGGACCCCCGCCGCAGCAGAATTAAACTTTTTTCTGTGTCCGAGGGCGCTCTACTGACCTCTGTGTGTGCCCCTGTGTCGTGTGTGTATGTGTGTGTGTGTGTGTGTGTGTGTGTGTGTCTCCAAGATTACAGTATAAGGGTTAAGTGAGACTGAAGGAAAGATGGCTAACTGGGACCAGGGAGACTTGCAGACAATTTCCTATCCTCTGAGAGATTTAAAGGTGGGAAATAATAATAAAATGATAATAGCTAACATTTAGTGAGTGCTTACTGTGTGCCAAGCACTTAAGTAATTTAATCCTCACAACAACCCTAGAACATATTACAGGTATCCCATTTTGCAGATGAGGAAATTGATACCCAGAAACATCTCAAAATCACATAACCAGAAGGTGGCAAAATTGGGATTTGAAAAGGCAGGCAGCCTGACTTCTGAATCTGTCCTCTTAACCACAGAATTCTGCTGAGCAGTTAGTGAATGCTCATTCCACATACAGGCATTGTGCTAAGCACAGCTCCTCTTTCTGAGGTTGGGCAACTGTCCAAGGTAGGTATCTTTGGTTCCATTTTATAGACAGGAATTTGAACCAGGGAGAATTGAAGTCACTTGCCCAAAGATCCCCAGTGAGAAAATAATGGAACTGGCAGTTTGATCTCAGTGTCTTATCTGTTCCTTACCACTACACCATGTTGCATCTAGAGGCTGGGGACTGACCCCAATGACCTTAGCCGAGCACAGGTATACCAAGCCAGCCTGGTGAGGGAGGAAGGAGGGAAAGAGCTCATTGGTTACTGCCTGGAATATGAGGGATTGGAAGTGGAGAAGGGGTCTGCTTGGAGCACAGAAGATGGTATGGGGAGGGGAGTTTCAGTTAAGGCTGAGGATTGTGGCTGGGGAAGGAAAGTTGGTTGGGGGCTACCCCAATCTTGGGGGGCGCTGCAGTGAATACTTCCTGATCCTGGAGAAGGAAGAGACTTCATGCTAGCCAGGGGCCCCCTGAGGCCTGGGGAGGAGGAGAGAAAGACAGAAATAGAAACAGCAGGAGGAAGGGGGAAGATCTGGGCAGGCAGGGTGGGAGGCATCAAGGACAAAGGCGCCAGAGAATCACAGGCCAGGAGGCTCCCTCACCCAGTGACCCAGCCACACTTATCTATCTTGGTCATCATGACTCCTGGGTACTGAGGGCTTCCCACATACTAGGCACTGTGCTCACAAACCCTCCCTGGTGCATGGGCAAGGGGCGGGGGAGGGGAAGGGACATCTGTAATATGTGGGTCCTCTCAATAAAGATTGAAAGAAGAGCATGCAACCCAGCACCAGGCACATAACACTCACAAAAGGAAGTTACGTTCATAGTAAGCATGATCACATTTATACTCTGCAGCTGATGTGTAGTGTGTGCATCTATGTTTCTAGAAGAAGAAAGAGTTTAGAGGTTAAGGAGCTTGCCCAAGATTATACAGCCAGTAAACAGCAGAGTTGTGATTAGAAAGTTTACTGCCTTCAAATCCTGCACACCTAATCATCTGACTATATTGTCTGAGTCACCCGATAAAACTTTATTGAGCATGTACTATGTACGTGGCTCTGCAAAGGAGATACAGCAGTGAACAAAATAGACAAAATAAGAAACCCCTGTGGTCTAGTCAGTGTGGCTCAGTGGTTGAGTGTCGACCTAGGAACCAGGAGGTTAAGGTTCAATTCCTGGTTGGGGCACATGCCCGGGTTGTGAGCTCAATCTCCAGTAGGGGGCATGCAGGGGGTAACTGATCAATGGTTCTCTCTCGATGTTCTATCCCTCTCTCCCTCTCCCTGAAATCAATAAAAACACTATATATATAAAATAAAGAAACCCCTGTCCCTTGGGGGGAGGCAGTAAACAAGCAAGTAAATATGTAATGTGTGTCTGGTGGTAAATAAATGTCTTGAAATGAATGAAAACAGGGTGTTGGGACAGAGAATGCCTGGGAGGTGTACTTTAGATGGCGGGGGGAGTATCAAGAAAGGTGATATTGGAGCTGAAGAAATCCATTCTGAAGAGATCCATTGTGGGAAGAACATTCCTGGCAATGAAAATAGCATGTGCAAAGGCCCTGAGAAAGGATTGTGCTTGGTGTGTTGGAGGCATTGTGCCTGGACTGGAGTGGGAGGAGAGCAGGTGGGAGAGGCAAGCAGGGAGCAGATTCTGCAGAAACTTGTGGTCTGTGGTCAAGAGTCAAGATTTTATTCTCAGAGCTGTGGGAAGCCAAAAAAAGGTTCTGAGCAGGGGTGGTATATGGTCTGATTTCTGACCCCAGCTGTGGGGTGTGCCTGCCTTCAAAACAAAATCAGGAACTGTCATCTCAGAACATGGCATCCATCCATCAACATATTTGGGGTCCACATGGTCCCTGGTTTAGCCCTTTGGAGGACATCAACCACCTTCTTTCTCCTGTAACCCTAAGCCCTTTGTTTAATAGAGAATTAATGCCAATGATATGCTCTTTAAAATTGAGAGCTTTAAAACCAAGGAACAGGTACAGCAATGAGAGAGGGCATTGGATTTTCCAAGGGGAGTGTATGAACATCTGCTCTGTGCCTGGCCCTGTGCTGGGCACTGTAGACCCAGCAGTGACCAAGATCGATATAATACCTGCCCTCCTGGCCAGACAGATGACAATAGGACTGTGATGGGAGAAGAAAAGGAAACTGTGGGAGCCCAGAGGAGCTGCCTGACCCCACCTGCAGGCCAGGGACATATATTAATCAAAGTCTTTTGGTAGCAAGTCTCAGGAACATAGCTTAACAGAATAGACCTAAAAAGCAGAGTTTATTGGCTCATATAACTGGGAAGGAAACAATACAGGGTAGACCCACAAGGAACTTGGCTTTAGGGACTGGACCCCAGACTCAACTCCATCAAGACACTTTCCTACTCATTTCTCAGTTTGTCTCAGCTCATATTCATTCCTTTCAACTGCATGTGCTGGGAAAGGGGCCATTTATTTGCAGACACAAACCCAATCCTTCCAGTACCATAGCCCAGTGAGAAAATGGCAAAATCTCCAGTATAAGTGAAACAACAACATCCCAGGGAAGGGCTCAGATTGGACTGATTGGGGTCACATGCCAACCTTGCACTGGTTGTGGCACTGGGGTTACATCAGTCCAATGATTGGCCAGGTAGGGGTTGGTTTAGCCCTCAGTATTCGGGTGTCCAGGTTGGGTGGCCTGGGAGAGGGGAGTAGCTAAAGAAATTGTTTTTTAGGTTGAATCATATGAAATTGCCAGTTTTGTAGGTCAGAAATGGCAGAATCTTGGCAACTTCATATGGTCGATCCCAAGTTCTTACCAGATGGGAAAGCGTTTGGGCCTATAAAAGTAATATAAATCCCAGTGGACCATTCCGAAGGGTATTTGGAAGAGGAAGTTATATTAACAGACATAGGGATGAGTGGATATTAGCCAGGTAAAGACATGGTGGTGGCGGGAGAATAGTAGTGCATATTTCAAGCAGAGGAAACAGCTTATACAAAGGCCTTCATTAGGGAAGATCAGAGAAGGCTTGTCACTGTGATCTGTAGATGGGGTAATCTGATTGAGCAAACCTGAGTCTTGTGTCCAAGCAAATGAAGGATTGGGAAAGTGAGCTTTAGCAGGAGAAATGGATGCTGAGCAGGTAAAACCTAAATATATCCAGTTCAGAATTTCTTTTTAGGCCTTTGCTTCTCCAAGTGGATTTGTAGCCTTATTTTTATTACAGCATTTATACTGAAGAGGGCCATATGCCTGAACTCAGACATGTCCTACAGGATTCAACTTTTTATTATCAAATATTAATTGACCACCTTCTCTGGGGTCTGTGCTGGGCATGCAGAGATGGATTTGTGAGGATTCACTTGGCTGCAAACAGAAAACTCAAGTACACGACTAAAGACATTTGGTTTTCTTACTGAATAAGAATTCTGGAGTTAGGGGGGTTGGGGTGTGGTGCAATGGCTTATTGATATCAACAAGGACCCATTTCCTACCCTTCTGTTTTATCTTCCTGAGAAGGATAGATTCATATTCTAGGCTTGTTGTCTCATGGTCACAAAATGGCCATCAGAGATCCAGGTCTTACATCCTCATACCAATGAACTAAGTAGGAAGGAAGGGAACAAATGGAAGTTCTTTTTTGTGTCAAGGAAGAAAAAATTCTAAAATAATAAGAGTAACAGTAATAAACACATGTATCAAAAATTGTTTTAAATTCATTATATAAAGTAACTAATTTAAGAAGCCTTTGCCCTGGCTGTTTTCTCAGTGGTTAGAGTGTTGGCCCACGGACCAGAGGGTCACAGGTTCGATTCCAGGTCAAGAGTGTTTACCTGGATTGCAGGTTTGATCCCCGGCCCTGGTCAGGGCATGTGGGGGAGGCAACCAAACATTGTGTTTCTCTCATGTCAATGTTCCTCCCTCTCTCTCTTTCTCTCTCCTCCCTTCTTCCCTCCCTTCCACTCTCTCTAAAAAAAAAAAAAAGAAAAGAAAAGAAAAAAAATCAATGGAAAAAATAATCTCGGGTGAGGATTTAAAAAAAAAGGAAAAAAAGAGGAGCCCTTTAGTCCCATGACCATTCCAAACTGCAAGGGAGTCTGAGGAAGCAGGTGTTGAGGAAGGGGAAATAAATTTATGCCCTGGGTTGGACACCTTGCTGCCCCCATCCAAACTGGGGTTCTGCCACTTACAAACCATATAATGCAGTGGAGTGGCTGTGGGATTATATGTAATTTCTAGTGCATGGCTGTACTCCTGTCTTTATCTCCTAATTGAGAAAACATGAGAATGCAAAGGTCTGAGAGTTATAGAGTTATGGGAATGATTCTGAAACCCCTATAATGTAAACAAAACTCAACCATTTAGAAATTTCAGTGGGTTACTCTTGGTAATACATTTCTTGTGACATGCCTCATAAGGGACTGTGGTGTATGCCTCATTAGAAAAAACACACAAACTTAGTGGCATAAAACAAAAATTATTTTATTATACTCCAAGCTTCTGTGGGTCAGGAACTTGATCATGGCAGAGTAGGAATGGCTTGTCTCTGCCCCAGTTGGGAGCTGGAAACCTCTGCACACTTCTTTACTCACGTGTCTGGTTACTGAGCTGGGATGACTGCAAAGCTGAGTTCAGCTGTGATTGTCAACCAGAGGATGTTCGTGTGGCCTCTCCATGTGGTTAGGTTTCTTGCAGCATGGCAGTTGGGTTCCAAGAGGAACAGTTTGAGATGTGTGTTCCGAGAGAGCTAGGTGGGACAGATGAAGAAGTGACAAATACAAGTTCAATGAGAGGAGCACATTGACTCTACCTCTTGAAGGGAGAAATGTCAAAGAATTGGTGGTCACTTTCCAAAAACCACAACACATATTGTGTACAAGCTGGAGATGCCAGCAAGCTATTTAACAACTACATTGTTGTTAGAATCGGAGAGCACACTAGCCACACATTGGAGCAGATCATGGAACACCCCTTCCACCCCCATATCAGATACTAACTCTTTGATTTCTGAATTTGCAGGGGGAAGGCTTGGGATGGCATGGGTGGGATGGATCTGCTTAGGGGAGTCTTGGGGAAATAGCTATTTTCCAACTGATATGAAAGTGTTTCAATATTTTAACAACTGAAACAGTGCTCCTATTGGGTGGCCACTGGATATCAGTCCTGCAAGAGATTCACAACCTTGGAACCTCCATGTGCCATCTTAGGCTGCTCCCTAGTTCTGCCTCCCACCTTTTCCCTTCCCGAAGAGCTCTAAGTTTGTTTAGGTATTCACTCTCCCTGGAACACATTTTCCCTAGCCTCAGAGGTGGGTTTTGATGAGTCTAACACCATCCTTGTAATTATATCTTCCTTGCCAGTGATTGGGTTAGACCTGGGCATATGACTAAATTTAGCCAATGAGGCAAGCATGTACATCCAACAGGGAGTTTCTCTGGAAGATTTTCTTTGCTTCTAAAAACTGTGAAAGCGCTAACCAGTTTGGCTCAGTGGGTAGAACATTGGCCTGTAGACTGAAGGGCCCCGGGTTCGATTCCTTGGGTTGCAGGCTCCACCCTGGTCCAATGTGTTATATTTCTCTCTTTCCCTCTCTCTTCCACTCTCTCTATAAATCAATAAAAAAAATATCCTTGGGTGAGGATTAAAAAAAATCAACATTTACAGCACATAAGAGATGGTATTTGAGGAACAAGATAACAATGAGGAGTGCAGCGGGTGTGCCCTGAGAGGTCTTGGAAAGGAGAATACTTTCCAAGGTATGACCTTTCAAAGGTATGATATCTTAGATGAAAAAGACAATAAACAGGCTCATTTAAAGTTAAGATTGACCTTTGTCAAGGACTCTACAAGCCTAGGATGTGACTACCTGCTGTGACCTGCTTTTAGTTAGGAGTTTTTATGTTCAGACCATCGTAAGTGGTTACTTTTGGTCTCCGAGTTTGTTAGGTCTGTCATGTTGGTCTCCTCTGAACTTGTCAGGTGCAGTATGTGACCCCTTTTTTATCCACACTTCTGAAAACTAAAGACAAAGAAAGAATCTTGAAGGAAACCAGACATAAATGACATTACATTTTATAGGGGGACAATAATTTGACAGGAGAAAGTGGCACATTTTTCAAGTGCTGAAGGAAAAGAACAGTCAACCCAGACTTCCTTATCCAGTGAAAATATTCTTCAGGAAAGAAGGTGAAATAGACATTTTAGGCCGGCCAGTGGTTGAGCTTTGACCCATGCACCAGGAGGTCACCTGTTCAATTCCAGGTGAGAGCACATTCCGGGTTGTGGGCTCAATCCCCAGTAGGGAGTGCGCAGGAGGCAGCTGATGGATGTTTCTCTCTCTCTGAAATCAATGTTTCTATCTCTCCCTTCTTCTCTCTGAAATCAATAAAATGTTAAAAAGAAAGACAGAAAGAAATATACATTTTAAAATAAAGAAAACTAGGAGAATTTGTTACCAGCAGAACTGTATTATAAGACTTGCTCAAGTTCTTCAAACAGAAAGAAAATAAAAGCCAAAGAAAACTCAGAACATTAGAAATGAAGAAAGGCTGATGGGATGAATAAATCTGTAGGTAAATATAATAAACAATCCTCCTTTCAAGTTTTTTAAAAAATATTTTTATTGCCTTGACAGGGATGTGCGTTCAATTCCTGGTCAAGGGCATGTACCTGTGTTGCAGGTTCCACCCCTAGCCCCAGTCAGGGTGTATGTGGAAAGCATCCAATCAAATTGTCTCTCTTACATCTATGTTTCTCTCTATCTCCCTCCCTCCCTTCCATTCTCTCTAAAGAAATCAGTGGGGATTAATCAGATAAATAAATAAAAATAAAGTTAAAAACTTAAATTATATATACATATAATTTTATTGATTTTTTTACGAGAGAGAGAGAGGAAGGGAGAAAGACAGAAATATCGATGTGAGAACCAAACATGCAGAATATTCCACCAACCCCTGTAGAATATATATTCTTTTCAAGTACACATGGACAGTCAACAAGACAGACCACATCATCCTGGGTTATAGAACCAATACAGAGAGACAACAGAAAAAATCTCTAAACACTTAGAAATTAAACAGTGCACTCCTAAACAACCCATGGTCAAAGAAGAAATCTCAAGGCAAACAAAAAATACACTGAACTGGACAGAAAATAAAAATAGACCATGTAGCCCTAGCTGGTTTGGCTCAGTGGATAGAGCATTGGCCTGAAGGGCCCGGGGGTTGATTTCCATCAAGGGCACATACTTTGGTTGCAGGCTCCTCCCCATACTTCTTCCTCACCCGGGCCCTGGTCAGGGCACATGCAGGAGGCAACCAATCAACACATCGATATTTCTCTCTGTTTTCCCTTTTTCTGCCACTCTCTCTAAAAATCTATGGAAAAATGTCCTCAGGTGAGGATAAAAACAGAACAAAATGGACTATATAAAAATTTTTAAAGCAGTTCTTAAAGAGAAATTTATAGCATTAGATCCTTATATTGAGAAAGAAAAAGGTCTTAAATAAACAATCTAAGCATCTACCTCAAAAAACTAGAAAAAGAAAAAACAAACCCCCAAAAAACAATAAAGAAAATTACTAAAATGAAAAGCTGGTTCTTTGAAAATATTAATAAAATTGATATATATATATATTTGTGTTTTTTCCCCCATCTGCTGCTTTATTTAAGGGCTGGTGACCAACAGTCCCCAACCCAGCCCTTCCTCCTCTATAAAAGCAACTACACATGAACTGGGGCCACCCTGTCAGATAAAGACAAGAAAATAAAGAAAAGAAAAAAGAAAAGGAAACTATAGATTAATATTCCTTATGCCTATAGAGGAAAAAAAACCCACCTCCCGAATTAGCAAATTATGTCCAGAAATACAAATACATAAAATTGTCAGTATATACCCACCCCACAAGAATTGAAAACAGAGAGTCAAAAGATACTTGTATGCCTATGTTCATAGCAGCATTATTCATAATAGCCAAAGGTGGGAACAAGCCAAGTGTCCATTATCTATATATAGAAAAGGCTAATATGCTAAGTGTCCCTACGACCACTTGCTATGACACTCACTGACCACCAGGGGGCAGGCGCTCAATGCAGGAGCTGCCTTGACACACACTGGCCATTTACAGAGAAACAGCACCGAGGACCTAGCGCCCACAAAGCAACACTCGGCTTCCCCCAAGTGGGACACAGGCCCCGCCACCACCCCGGAGCAATACCCCACCAAATTGCAGCTGATGCTGCCAAGACCCCATGGTGCAAAATGCAGCCCACAGCCCAGCCCAGCCCAGCCTGGAAATGGTGGCTGTGGGCACTGGGTAATGACAGATAATGACGTCACATAGCAATGCTCGGCTTCCTTTCCCTAGTGACTAGCCTCCTTGGAGTTTCTTCAGCCCAGGAACATGACTTGCTTTATAGCCAGGTGGAAACATTTTACACTTTAACCAAATGTCTGTGAAGCGTTTTCCCATGCCTCATCTCATTTGATCCTCACAGAAGTCATGGAGTAGGTAGATAGGAGACTTGATAGAATCCTATTTTCTTTTCATTAGCTGGAAAACGGAGATTTAGAAAGCTTAGAAACTTGACTCGAGTGAGAAGAAGTAAGAAATGGTGGGCCTTGAAAATGACTTCAGGTTTTCTCACTGCACAGAATATAGTCAAACGCTGCTGTAGTTAAATATTTTACTCTTTGTTCTCCCTGTGTGATCTACAATAATAATCTGCATCGTGTTGATATTTACTGCTGTGTTGCTGACAATAACCTGAAAGAGAAGTTGGGGTGCTTCACTTGGCTGGAAAAAGTTCAGCTAAATCAAAAAGCAGGTCTAATTAAGCAAGTTTATATATATAAAGGCCTAAGCGACCGGTTGGTAGCTATGATGCGCACTGACCACCAGGGGGCAGATGCTCAATGCAGGAGTGGAAACCACAGGCATGGAAACATGGAACAGACTGATGAATCTCAGAGAGAAGAGGGGAGGGGAGAAGAGAGGGTGGGAAGAGATTAACCAAAGATCTTATATGTATACTAGAGGCCTGGTGCACAGAACCCTGCGGGGATCAGGGTGAAACCAGCTCTCTGACATTCCCCGAGGGGTCCTGGATTGCAAGAGGGTGCAGGCCAGGCTGAGGGACCCCATGGGTGCATGAATTCATGCACTGGGCCTCTAGTTCTATATATAAATATGTATATCTAAACAACTAGAGGCCCAGTGCACAAAATTCATACTTGGGGAGTCCCTCAGCCTGGATTGCAAGAGGGTGCAGGCCAGGCCGAGGGACCCCACTGATGCACAATTGGGGCTGGGGAGGGACGTGGGGGGTTGGCCAGCCAGGGAGGGACCACGGGAGGGCTCCAGGGCATGTCTTGCCTGTTTTGCTCAGTCCCAATTGACTGGACCCCAGCAGCAAGCTAACCTACTGGTTGGAGTGTCTGCCCCCTGGTGGTCAGTGCATAGCAAGTGGTTGAGCGGCCTTAGCATATCATTAGCATATTACACTTTGATTTGTTGAATGGCCGACCGGACGACTGGACACTTAGCATATTAGGCTTTTATTAAATAGAAAGACTAAGTTGACTAGCACGCGATACATATAAAGCTCTCGCTGGTGCCAATCGCATACGTGTGTTTCAATCTGTCATTGTTGATCATGTATTTGGTTGACACTTCTATTACAGAGAAAGAGCAAATAGCGATATTAAAATATTTCTTCTAATTAATTTCCTTTCAATGTGCACAAATCCGTGCACTGGGCCACTAGTTTAACCATAAAAAGGAAAGAAATTCTAATACATGCTACAACATGGATGAACCTTGAAAACATTATTCTGCATGAAATAAGCCAGACATAAAAGGAAAAACATTGTATGGTTCCACTTATAAGAAATATATAGAATAGGCAAGTTCATAGAGACAGGAAGTAGAATAGCAGTTACCTAGAGCTGGGAGGATGAGAGAAGGGAGAGTTATTGCTTAATGTGTACATAGTTTTTATTTGGGATGTTGAAAAGTTTTGGAAACAGATGGTGGTAATGGTTGTACAATATTGTGAATGCCCTTAGTGCCATTGAATTGTACACTTAAAGATGGTTAAAATGGCAAACTTTATGTTATATGTATTTTATCATAATTAAGTGGAAAAACAACCTTATTGAAAGTATGGTAGTCCAAAGCAAAGAAATATATTTTTTATATATTTTTAAAAAATCATAATCCATGACCAAGTTACACTTCATGAATGGAATGCTGGTTCAATATTTGAAAATCCATCAGTGGAATCCACCATATTTATAGGCTAAAGGAGAAAAAGCATGTGATCACATTGATCAATGCAGAAAAGGCCTTTCACAAAATCTCACATCCATTTCTTTTTAAAATTGTTTTTATTTTTATTGATTTCAGAGAGAAAGGGAGAGGGAGAGAGTGATAGAAACATCAATGATAAGAATCACTGATCGGCTGCCTCCTGCACGCCCCCTACTGGGGATCGAGCCTGCTACCTGGGCATGTGCCCTGATAGGGAATCAGACCGTGACCTCCTGGTTCATAGGTCAATGCTCAACCACTTAGCCACACCGGCCAGGTGAAATCTCATATCCGTTTCTCTAATTAAAAATTCTCAGCAAACTAGAAATAGAAGAAAACTTCCTCAACTTGATAATGAGAATCTATGAAAAATTTTCAGCTAACCTCATAATGGTGAAATACTAAATGCTTTTCACCCTAAAATCAGGAAGAAGGCAAGGATGACCACTTTCATCATTCTTGTTATTATTTTTTTAATACTCACCTGAGGATATGATATGTTTATTGATTTTTTTTTAGAGAGAAGGGGAAGAGGAGATAGATAGATAGATAGAAAAACATCAATGTGAGAGAGAAACATTGATCAGTTGCCTTCTGTATGTGCCCCGGCTGGGTATCAAACCCCTAACCTAGGTATGTGCTCTGACTGGGAATCGAACCCACAACCTTTTGGTGTATGGGGTGATGCTCTAACCAACTGAGTCACCAAGTCAAGGCAAACTTCTTATTTTTACTGTGGTAAAATACACATAACATAAAATTTACCATATTAATCATTTTTTTAAAAAAAATATATTTTATTGATTTTTTACAGAGAGGTAGGGAGAGGGATAGAGAGCTAGAAACATGGATGAGAGAGAAACATTGATCAGTGCCTCCTGCACACCTCCTTGGTTGCACACCCCGCAACCAAGGTACATGCCCTTGACCGGAATCGAACCTGGGACCTTTCAGTCCGCAGGCCGATGCTCTATCCACTGAGCCAAACCAGTTAGGGCATATATTAATCATTTTTAAGTGTACAACTTAGTGACGTTAAATAGATTCACAGTGTTGTGCTACCATCACCACCAATTATCCACAAAACTCTTTTCATCTTGCAAAACTGAAACTCTGTACTTAATAAACAATAACTTCCCATTCCTCCTCTCCCCCCAGCCCCTGGCAATCACCACTTTACGTTTTGTCTCTATGGATTTGACTACTCTGGGTACCTCATATAAGTGGAATCATACAATTTTGTCATTTTGCTTATTTAGGTTAGTCTAATGTCCTTAAGTTTCACCCATGATGTAGAATGTGTCAGAATTTCCTTCTTTCCTAAGGCTGAATAATATTCCATTGTATGTACAGGGTGTCCCAAAAATATACACACATCAACAGCTCAATTTTGAAAATGAAATGTACTTGAATAAGCACTGCCTTTATAATTATTCAAGGTGTGTGCATACATTTTGGGGGGGACACCATATATATATATCACATTTTTCTTATCCATTGATTAGTTAATGTACACTTGGGTTGTTTCCATCTTTTGGCTATTGCAAATAATGCTATTCTGAACATGGGCATACAAATACCTGCTATCAATTCTTTTGGTTATGCACCCAGAAGTGGAATTGTTGAATCACATAGTATTTTTAAGTTTTTGAGGAACTGCTATGCTGTTTTCCACAGTGACTGCACCATTTTACATTCCCACCAACAGTGCACAAAGATTCTAATTTCTCTAATATTCTTGCTATCTCTTAGGCTGTGTGTGTGTGTGTGTGTGTGTGTGTGTGTGTGTGTGTGTGTGTTTAATAGTAGCCATTCTAATGTGTGTGAAGTCTCATAACTCTTCCTTCACATAGTACTGGATGTCCTAGACAGTACAAAAGAATAAACAAACAAATGGCATGAAAATTGAAAGGGCAAAAATAAAGCTTATTTGTAGATGGAATGGATGTTTATGTATAAAGCCACCAGGAAACCACAAAGACTCCTAGAACTTATAAGTGAGTTTAGCATGGTCACAAGATATAACGTAAACACACAAAATCAATTATACTTATTTATACTATCAATAAACAATGTGGTGGGCACACAGTGCGACATACAGATCTTGTAACATAGAAACCCACACTTGAAACTATTATGTTCATGTTAACCAGTGCCACCCCAATACATTTAATTTAAAACATTCAAAATAAAATAAAATAAAATAAACAGTTGAGCCCAGCTAGAGTGGCTCAGTTGGTCGAGTGTTGTCCTGTGCACCAAAAGGTTGCCGGTTTGATTCCGGGTCAGGGCACATGCCTGGATTGCAGGTTCGATCCCTGGTTGAGACAGGTATGGAAGGCAACCAACTGATTGATGTTTGTCTCTCACATTGATGTTTCTTCTCTCTCTCTCTCTATCTCTCTCTCTCTCCCTCTTTCTCTCCCCTCTCCTTTCTCTAACCATGTAGACTTACACACTCCTGGGCATTTATCTTAGAGAAATAAAAATGTGTGTTCACACAAAAATATGATACAAATATTCATAGCAGCTTTAATAGCCCATTAAATAGTACTCAGCAATAAAAAGGAAGGAGCTAGGGACCCACACAACTTGGATGAATTTTAAGGTTATTGTGCTGAATGAAAAAAGCTAATTTCAACCGGTAACATGCTGTATAATTTCACTTAAATAACATTCTTGGCCTGGTGGGTGTGGCTCAGTGGTTGAATTATGGACCTATGAACCGGGAGGTCACTGGTTCAATTCCTGGTATGGGCACATGCCCAGGTTTCTGACTCAATCCCTAGTAGGAGGTGTGCAGGAAGCTGCTGATTAATGATTTTCTCTCATCACTGATGTTTTTTCTCTCTCCCCCTCCCTCTCCCTTCCTCTTTGAAATAAAAATTATTTAAAAAAAAATAACATTCTTGAAATGACAAAATAATAGAGATAGAAAACACATTAGTAGTCGTCCAGGGTAACAGAAGAGAGGGTGTGATTGTAAAAGGAATGGCACTTGGGTGTTTCTCTGTGGTAAGGAAACAATTCTGTATCTTGATTGTGGTATTTCTAGATGTAATAAAATGTCACCGAATTATACACAAAGATTATTAAAAAAATAACATTCTTGAAATGACAAAATAATAGAGATAGAAAACACATTAGTAGTCGTCCAGGGTAACAGAAGAGAGGGTGTGATTGTAAAAGGAATGGCACTTTGGTGTTTCTCTGTGGTAAGGAAACAATTCTGTATCTTGATTGTGGTATTTCTAGATGTAATAAAATGTCACCGAATTATACACAAAGACATATATAAAGAAATGAGCCTAGCTGGGGTGGCTAAGTCATTGAGCATTGACCTATGAACCAAGAGGTCAGGAATTCCATTCCAGGTCAGGGCACATACTCAGGTTTCAGGCTCGATCCCCAGTAGGGAGCATGCAGGAGGCAGCTGGTCAATATTTCTCTCTCATCTTTGATGTTTCTATCTCTCTCTCCCTCTCCCTTCCTCTCTCTGAAATCAATAACAACATATAAAAAATGGCTAAGTTAGCCTTAAAAAAATGAAAAAATGAGTACATTGGAAAGCTGGTGAAGTCCCAGTAAAAAGTCTACAGTCTCGTTCATTGCATTACGCCAATGTCAATTTCCTTTTTTTGAGAATGTGCTATAGTTATGGGAAATTCTCTTCCTGCATCAGTAGTAATAAGTGTAAGGATGGATACAGGGTGCCTCTCTGTAATATTTCTGCAACTTCTTATAGGTCTATAGTATTTTCCCCTTTCTTTCTTAC